TTTTCACACAAAGTTGTGGAATTCAAGTAAAATGTACGTTTATTAATTTGTCCCCAATTTTCCAACTATTCCCCTTGTTGATTTCAATAAATAAAATTTCAGTGACGCAAGTTTACAAAAAAATACAAGAATTTAATTGTAGCCATTTTGTATGAAGCAACAATTAATTAACTGAAAAAACAAAACTGAGAACTTATGAAAAATTCAAAGACTCTTATAATTTTGAAAAATACTTGGATGTGAATTTCAATGACAAAATTTCAAACTAGTAATCACAATTTAGCAATAGAAAAAGAAGCATATGCAACCAAAAATAGCTATTGAAAATAGAATTTGCAAACAATGTAAACAGAATGAAATAGAAGATGAACTGCCCTTTGTTATGATATGCTCACAATATAAAGTAATAAGTCAACAAATCATACAAGACATTACATTTCCACAAGAAACACAGGATGATCTCCAGAAATTTAATTTTAATGACTTCAAAAGATGATGTAATAATAAAAAAGATTGGCAACTACAGTATATTCATAACTCATTTCGATCAAGAAATAAAAATGCCATTTGATATGTAACACTTGCTTTATCCCAACAACTAACAACTAACTTTTTTTGTAGTAGTAAACTTGTCGTCTCGATCTCTCTATTCCGGATTTCTACCCGCAACCGACTCAACTCACGTGCCCATGCGCACAATCAGCTCATTATGGAAAGTTTGGGCAGTCTGTTAGAAAATGACACAGCCCTGGCTACTGCATCACTGAAATCGACAACTATTGCCGCCCATGCAGCGTTCAGTATTTTATGTTTCACCCGAGATGACTCCGGCAGTCTGTACTTTGTTAGAAAATGACACACGCGGTGGTCAGTCAGTTCGCCCCAATGCACATTCGCCCCAGACCAGTTCGCCCCAAAGTCGGTTCGCCCCAAGTTTACTGGTGTTCGTTTTCGCGGTTATGCGTGCAAGGAAATGTGGTTTTGAAATATTTTAAAAATTATACTTAAGTAAAAACCACATCGAAGGAGGCTGATCGCCGCGATTGTAGCATATCGCCCGAAGAGTCGAACCGGTGTCGTGCCATATGCGTCGTGATAGCGATACTTTGCCTTTTTTTGCCATGCGCTGTGATAGTGATTTTTTGCCCCTTTTTCGATTGACTTATCTCCCCTGGCTTGCCTTACAAACATGAATGAACCAACCAGTCAATCGGTGTTGTGTGGTTTCGGCGTTCCAGTTTTAACGCACGGATTAAAAATACGTTAAAAATATAGTCGTTACCTGTTCGTTATTTTAAGAACTTCGATGTTATGTATTTTATAATCGTTACATTATCGTACATTTAAGAACTTTGATGTTATGTATTTTATTGTCGTTACCTGTTCGTTATTGTAAGAACTTCGATGTTATGTATTTTATAATCGTTACATTATCGTACACTTAAGAACTTCGATGTTATGTATTCTCGTACTTTCGAACAACCAATAAAGTTAGAACGTAAAAGCACTGTTTGATAGGAACATCATGAAGCTCACTGGTTTCAGATACAATATACTAGCCAAGCCGACACAACCCCTATTGCTCAATAGAATAATCCAAGATGGCGATGTTTGAGAAACGGTTCGTTGAAGATCGATTCGACCTTTCGATAAACCACAGTCCCTCTATCACTATGATAGAGGGACTGTGGATAAACTATTCAAAGCTCGTCCAGTTTACGGATCTCATAGAAGCCTGAACGGAAAGATTACTGGCTGCTTTGACCTGTGAACGCCAATTATAAAATCTATCGGGTCGGAGAGTGTCGTACGGACTAATAGGTCAAACGAGTCTGCGATCATAGCACACGGCACAGCACGGGTTCGGGTGATATGCTACAATCATGAATCGCGGCGATCAGCGTCCTTCGATGTGGCTTTACTTTAGTATAATTTTTAAAATATTTCAAAACCACATTTCCTTGCACGCATAACCGCGAAAACGAACACCAGTAAACTTGGGGCGAACTGACTGTGGGGCGAACTGGTCTGGGGCGAATGTGCATTGGGGCGAACTGACTGTGAATCACACACGCAGCCCATTACAAACACCCATTCACAAACCCAGTAACACATAATCCAGACGAGTTCGACCGCTACGAAACTCTGTCGCAGTTAAATCGACTATTGTCTATTTCAACGGCCCATTTCTTACCTTAGTAAATTGTAAAAATATACATTAGAGACATTAAGATGCGC